TTAATTCTATTACTATAAAAAATTCCCAACACATAATTGACGGGAAAGTTGATAGTAAAATAGTCTTCAGAAACTTGTCTGATTTATCCGTCTAAATAAAAATTTAAGACGATGTTCTCGGCTTCTCGCCCAGACGGGACTCCTATCCAACTTACGTGTCTGTTTAAACGGGAAAGTTACACGGGAAAATTCGAACGAGAAACCCGTCTGTGCATCCGGATTCACATCAGACGAGTTTCCTGTTTTCGATGAATTTCCTGTTTCTATAATATGAATTCGGCTATTATATTGTAAAAGTAATGAGGTTCAACTGATGACAAGCGTCCTATACAAACGGAGGTCAGGCCGCAAGATTAGTTGAAAGTATAGTTTCACATGGCCATATTAGATCATGCCTTTATCTGGATCCTGATGAGAAGGATAGTCATCTTTATAAATAGCAATGACACCGAGAGAGCTCAAAAGGACGCTACTTTTCTCAAATTATATTGAACTTTCAGTTATTCATTCTACTGAAAAAAATAAATATATATTTGAAAGCAATAAACCTTTTTTAAACATCTTTCAAATTAAAGTTAAATAATCAAACTAAAGCCCAAAAATGCAAAATACCATAAATACGATATAAAGGAATGGGGTAATCGATCTGACGTGCTTTGCCAAACACTACTTATGTCCTAGAAATTTCTCTGAAGGACTTCATCACCGCTATATTGAAACAATGACAGGTTCTACATTTCTTATTATAGAAGTCAAAAATTTTCGATCAACATCACTATTTCTCCTAAGTGCTACTCACAAAACTTTTCATTATTTTATTTGACATTTATCCATGCTTGGTATTTTTAATCCTGGGTATTTTCGATGTGTTTTATCAAGTTCGAAATTTGTATTTCGGACATTTTATGGTGCACGTTGATATAGCTACTTTTATACTACTCCAGTATATTTTGAGATCAATGACATGCAGCGTCATGTAATTATTTATTGTGGGGAAAACCCCTATTATATCGTTACAGTATAAATACTACTGACAGTAAAATGCAATTAAGCATTGGCCTTAGTCATTTCGTCCCATCTTGTAGAGATACCAGTTCAAAGTACAGCGAAGAATATTTCTGTGAATCGGTGTTAAATAAAGGATACACAGTATACAGGATCGTTGATAGTACAAGTGTGTTATATCGTTGACTTCATACTATATAAGGTGAGCAAAATATCATGTAGTTTATAAATTGAGTTGAGCACTTTTATCATTAGTTTTTCCAACGTATTTTTAACTCCGCGGTTAATGTTATTTTCAACACTATAGTATGGTTTATTGTACGGTTTATTAACATTTCAACAAACTAAGTGGGACACCAAGTCAAAATATCACCGCAAAATTATTGTCTTGTTTTAATAAGTAATTAAGCTTGTAGGTATAAAAAATCAATAAAGGTACATTATTACCACATTTTTACCTCATTGATTATTTCCATTACCTCGTCTGAGGTGTATGTAGGGATTGCCTAAGGTATAGTAATTATTTATAAGCATCTGCATGGTGAAGAACCCTGTATATGCATGTAGGTACAAGAATATTATTGTTTTAATAACTTTTACCTGAAGTTTACCAGATGTTGTTTTGCGGAGTATGTTTTCTATTGCATTTCATTGATTGTCTGCTAAAGGTTTTTTATATTAAATAACCCTTTATACTATATATATTATATAATTTTCATATATATCTGCATGTGGTAAATCTACGGTACAGTGTACCGCGTATCTACAGTCAATCCATCATCAGAATATTTTAAAAGCATTTAGCAAATCTTAAACATTTATCTCAACACTCGTATATGGAGAAAGAACCTGAACATTACGGCTACAGACCTCTCAACTTAGCAGATAAGTTAAGAGTGAGATTGGAGATGTGGTCATGTGGAAATGGCATTTCGTGCATTATGAGTACTTTTAGTGCTTTTTAATGAAATACATTGCTTCAAAACGTTCTTTAGGACAAGGCACTTTATTTACAATGTTAAACTGTATTTCTGTGACATAATAAATTTCAATTTGCCTTTGATCACTTTACATATACAGCTAATTGCATTGAGGTTGTTCTCCAACAAAGTTAAAAGGCAAGCGCTGCGTACTATTTTGTATCCAAATTGCGGGCAAAATGTCGGGCGTATGCAGGCTATGCAGCAACAACAACACGCGATTATATATTCAACTCGCTATCCATATAATGATTAATTTAGTATAATATTATTATTTAACAAATATCCACTCATTTTAACACCACCATATTTGCAAAAACAGCAGCACCAACTAAGGCTATATAAAAAATTACTCACTGACTGTCCGCATTTAATTTCCGAAGCGATATTATCTTGGGCAAATTTCTACGCAGTGACAACTTTGTCTTCAAACACTTGTAATGATGAATCGAAAATTTACAAAGACATTTCCATCACAAGCTCGAAATTAAAACCCAATTGCGCCACACGCATTGAATGGACTGTGCTCCTTGCACTTCAAATGATGCGACGAAAGAGAAACCGACCTTATTGAAAAACATAAGGAATTGCTTTTTCATCGATAAATACGTGTACACGGTTACAATAATTACTACTTGTACTTCCTGTAGTCATGGGAAGTTCCGAGCGTACGGAAATGGTCGACTTGTGTTTCATATGCCATTATTATTATAAGAATTGAATCACAGCAACCCGAAGTCACCTCTCTATATATAGAGGAGCTCAATGAGCGTATTTTTCATATATATATTTTTAGCACACGTAATGAAACTTTTCTGCAAGAGGAAATTAGGTCACTTAACACTATTTCTGGTTTACCACCGAGTTTACACGGAAATTCCTTTCAAACGTGTCATTACGCCCTAAACTACAAGAATGAAAGTTTTAGAAACCACCCACTGAATTCTAAGAAATTCTTCTGATGCATTCTTAGCTATGCACGACTAACGCGTGATTCTTCCTTTGATTCCGTTCAGATAAGTGACTGACCAACTAAACAATTCACAAACTACTGTATATATATAGTCTATAGTCTATACTGTGACTGTGAGTGAGAAGTTTGGAAAATTTTATAGTGAATACTGTAAGTCTGTGTTACACTTTGGACAATACAATCACTCAATCAGTCTGTTTTACGGTTTTCGGATCGATATTGGTGGATTGAGTCGTGTAGCTGTTTTTTTAAATGTTTGCCGTATGTTAAATTGTTCTGAATAAAGTTGCTATGTCTGCTATACAAAAGCGTGTAAGCGTATAGGATGGAAAAAATCCTCGACGCTTTAAGCAAAGGGCTTTGCTTTGAACAGAAGAGTTGGCATGACTCGCTCAACTGATCAAAATACCGTTACTGAACCACTCATTGAAACGTCGAGAAAATATACAGCAACGTTAAACCAAATTTGATCTCCGAGTATACGGCTACTATCTTTATGCATGGCTACTAGTTTATTGTGTGCTGCGATATAACAACAGCATATACAATTGCATGCTGTATAGTCAATAAAAATCAATCCCCATGCTGCACCATGGTACAAATTGTGAAATAGGGATATTAAATTTTGATAAATTTTAATAATTCCAAATTTGTTGTCACTATAGCTAATGCAGCACATTGAAGGCCCTACCTGTGCACACACAGTAGCACCATGATCCAAACTTCAGCGGCTGTTCACATGAGCCAGGTTCCCCGAGATTTAACGAAAAAATACACTAAAGTTTAGGAGCTTTCGAGAGTTATTTACCGAAAACGTTTAATAGCAAACGACCAAACCTGTGTGAGTATGTCAGTAAGTAAGTATGCAAGTACTGTGACGTTGTCTGGGTTCTCTCAAAACATAAATTTAGTTAAAATATCAACTGTGCTTCATGCACAAGCTCATGAAAATATCAAGAAATTTGCTGCAGACATTGGACAGCGCGAGATCTTTAAAAACTAGGATTTTTATCCATTTTGGAAGCGGTCAAGTTTTTTATTCATATGTTTGAATAAATTACAGCATCAAATTCGCGATCAGCTTTAGTTGTTCAGCTCTAATGCAGGCTCATATTGTTACACCGGTGGCTCGAGCTTCGAAGTACTGCATGATTCTCCCGCTAACTCGAACTCCCAAGGGCACGGTGAAAGAAAAATTGTTCGAGTTACCGGGGGTTCGAGTTAACCGGAGTTGGTGTCAGATTTCGTTTATATTTAATAACATTGGATTACCGCAGTCCGATTTTAATTATTGTTGTTTCGATAGTTTCAAAGTTGTCAAAATGATGATCTATGATTCGAAACCAAAGTTCGAGTTATAACCGGATATAGTCGGCCAAGGGAAAACACAATTTGTTCGAATTAGCGAGGAGTTCAAGTTACGCGAGTTCGAGTTAAGCGGAGTAAATTATTATAAAGAACATTACCTAATCCAAGCCCAAGGGGAATTAAATTTAATTCGAGTTAGCAAGGAGTTAATTTAAGTTAAGCGGGTTCGAGTTAAGCGCAGTAAATCACTATAAAAAACATTACTAAATCCAAGGGGAATTGGAGTTAGTGAGGAGTTCAAGTCTCACTTATTTGTGTTAGCGGGGGACTATTGTAATAACTGCCGAATAAGCTTATGAATTAATTCAGTCGAGGATCTGGCTTCTGATTGGTTTATTTTTATATTCATATCAGCTGTAACTGTGGTTACCGGAGCAGCGTCATGTATAAACAATCATGAGACAATCTGATGAAACATTGTATATATAGCAACTATATACCTATGAAATTAAAGTGAGGCCTAAATTATCCAAACTCTAAACCTTATACAAAGAGAAAATTCGTTTTTCATTGGTATAGTTGCTACATACATGTATCATAGGGAAGTAAAATCAGTAATGACATGTCGCCCCCAATATAATATGCTATTTATATATATTCAGGGGAAAACCCTCGCTATGCCGATTCATGCAGCGTGGGCAAATTCCTGATTCAAGCATACATATACATGGCAACAAGTGGAATTTCATTATATTTTCATATCGTCCGTTATCTTAGAGACAGCAGTTTAAAACACAGCGAAGAACATTTTTGTGAATCTGTGTTACATAGAGGAATATACTACAGTACAAGATAATCGGATAAATAAGTCTGCCATAGTGTTGACTTCATATAAGGTAGGTAAGCCAATTACTGACATAAATTTTACTTATGGTATCATGTAGCTTATAATGTTGAACACTCAGTTATTTGTATTATTTTATGTAACTCCAGTTAGTGCTATTTTGAAACTATTGTATGGGTTCATATTTTGTTCAAAATAACACAGACTATAAATAGCTGTATAAAACCTATTGCCGGCCGATCAGATGACCTTTAAAAGTGGTTGGCGCGATTTATTTATTATTAATATTATTATTATATCGCGGCCTAATCCTTAGAATGTTGCCCATAACGCAATGGAAAACCGGTTACAGTGTTACAGTGTCACAGTGCTACAGGGGGACTATTATAGCTAGGGGGTCGGTCTATCCGGAAACCGCCATATTTTTATCCTCTTTCACCGTTGACCGTCATATTTTTCTTTGAAAATCCGTAACCGCCATTTTCCTTATCGACATAAAATTGGCTTTCTCTTCAAAGAACCCTATGAACAACACTTACAATAAGTCTTACATGAAGGAAACTCCGCACAAAACACAAAATCAAAGCTTTAAGACCATGCGAAAATCATTCAAGATACCTCCCATTAAAACTTCCAAGCCTTGACCTTGTTCATATTTTAAACCGTATTCCGTGCATAAAACATATATATATATATATATATATATTAATATATATATATATATATATATATATATATATATATATATATATATATATATATATATATATATATATATATAAACCGCCACGAAAACGTAGATATATCCGAAATCCGATCCTTGAAATGGATAAAACCGCCTAACCGCCAAACTATATTAGCCCCCCCCTACAGTGTTACACAATTCTTGATATTTTGATATCTTTAGCTTCAAAATTGAATCTTTAGAAGATTTTGCTGATTTTTAACCGCGTGACAACATTCCTATAGCACGCGCTTAGCAACGTGTATCGCCGTTAAAACTTTATAAAGTGAAAGGCTAATTCTCTGATTCTTTTGCACATCCTACCCCTAACATTACTTAGAATTATAACAGAATGCTAATATGCAAAATTCAGACTGTCTGAAGACAACAGAAAAAATTTCACAGAATTCGAAAAAACGGAATTTCTAAAAGTTATGCATTGGCAACCTCGTAGGTATACGAGGTTGAAGTTATGGTGAAGTTTGGATGTAGTTTGAGATAAAACGCAACATAGTATTTTGGCACTATCTCCCGATTTGAATACACTATTTATATGACCTCTTCAAGCGCTATCGTTTGGTGGTATTCCTCGACCTGCATCTTTAGCCCAAATACTTGCAGAGATATTCAATTTAAGCAAGGATCACGCGTTCTATGTCACTATGACATGCACCGCCGAGATTCCGAGCATGCAAACGGGAAAGGAGTTTAAATTATTTCCCACTTTCATAAGGGCTGTTATTTCTGGAAGGGCTGCTATTCATATGGAAATTGTTAAAATTTGTTAAAATTTATTTCGATGCCGTTGTATCCCATTTTATTTTCATCTGAAACAAGACTTCCTAGTGAAGCAATTTATTGAAATTCAAAACGACGGGAAAACCCATATAATATAATTTGCACACTTTCAGAACTTGTTTTGTTTACTTTTTTGCTGACTGAATAAAATTGCTGATATGCGCTGACACATGCACGAGACCGCAGAAGGTCAATACGCTCACGCGACCAACTTTTCTACATACGCTTCGCCGTGCACGCTGCGGCGAAGTGCCAGAGGTAGATTAGGTAGAAATCCCTGCATGGCTTGCGAGATTATCACGCGACTTGTATGGGATGTGCGCAATAGTTCGACTACATACACATTTCGCGCCGTACAACTCTGAATAATGTCTTGGCAAGATGTAAGATATTGGTATTGCATGGAATTATAAACACATCAGTGTAAAAAATTGACACCTCATATTGAAGTTGTTGGATTGCAAGTTATCAGTTATGTTCGGTCAGCAATTTACGTCATATGGTGTAAGCGGAAATTTACCGTTTTTCAAAAGATCGTCAAAGTATTTCGCCTTGGCCTCGAGAAGTAAGAGATAAATAGCCAAGAGCAAATATGAGGAAAGGCAGTGCTAGCTCAAAATTGTCACAGGGCTTAATTCCTCACCCAAAATATGCATATTTCCGGAGTGTTATTAAAATATTGAAATACAGCTTAATAAGGATGGTTCTAGACTTGCTGACGAACGAAAATATGCACACACTCTGGGTTGTGTCAATCCCGCCCCGCATATGCTTCCACTTGACCCTGAAGGCTGAGGCTGGCCTCTACTTGCACGTATTCCCAGTACCGCCGATTTAGCGCATGTTCAGTGATTCGAAACTGGTCGCTGATGCCGGCCGTCGCGGCTAATTTTTTGCACGTATGTTTTTGTATACATACGTATTTTTTGTAAAAATATCTACGGTATAATAACCTCATGCTAGATGTAATTGTTTAACCTTGCATAAAATTGCTTTTTGCATAGATCTTTTCCAAGGACATGGCAAGTATGGCAGAAACTCCGGAATTGAATGAAATTTTACCAGATGGCGACAAGGATGGTAAAAGGATATTTGTAATAAATGCTCCATTATTAACGCGTCAATTAAATGATGTGAAACTTATTGGTGATCCTGGCGGTGGAAAGGTCATACTATGCGTAATTAAAAAGGAGCTGCTTAAACTATTTCCATGGTGGTACAAAAATAAGTTGAAGATTCCATTGGTTATAATCCTCACCTCGAATGACTCGGAGCAACAATTGTTGCTGACGCAACGGCAAAATTTATTCCCTACAGACTTACGTCAGCAAAATCATAACCGCAATGACGTCATGTTGAGTTATGTCTTGCATAATCAATCAACCCTTTTCGAATTGCCTAATCATGACATTCTTTTATATTTTGATGTTTCTTCTCAACATGTTTTGAAGAGAAACAAAAGGCGGTCGAGTTTGCCTATTGAGCCGACAAATAAAAACGCTCGTCATATTTCGCCCGTGGTAATCTTTGTTGCTAACTTTCATAATCTTGAAGACTTTAAGAAAAACGTTTTCACTTTGTACAATGAATATCAACTTAATAAACAACGAATAATAAACAGGCAAAATATGCATAAGCCCGTTTTCAAAAGGTGTCACTCCCTTCCAATAATGTCAAAAGAAAGCAACAATAAAGAAAATCTGACAGTTGTAAAAATATTACCTCTATCGATGCCAACTGGCGTTGACATTCCGCAAGCTCTCAATCTTAATGATCAATCCACGCAAACCATAGATAACGATGATCGTTTTAAAAGACTTTACGACGAGACAAAATTAGAGAATGAAAAGTTGATGAACGAAAATGAATTGCTAAAACGCAAACTTTTGGAAGAAAATAATTTGTTTGAAAAATATCGGGCCGAGAGGAGCCTTTTAGAGAATGAAATATTATATTTAAAGCAAAGGTGTCATGAGTTAGAAAAGGAGTACAAAGATCTCTTATCCGAAAATGGAAGGCTTTTAATCGAGATGGATTCCAAAATTACTAAAGAAAAGCATATCGAGAAATTAAAAAAAATATATCCTACTATGCCAATTAGGAACGTCAATGAAGAAATGGTCACGTTAGGGGTTGATAATAATCACACAGAAATAATACCCCCAAATCATAGTCGAACTAACCATGTTGGATCCAGCAGTGATCTTTTAAATGAAGGAAACGTTCCACCTGAATCTATAGAATACCCTGTACAAGTAGTAGAAGGAAATGAAATAGAACCTATTGGCGGGGAGAATAACTCATTATCAACCACGCCCCAAGATAACAATTCATATAAACAATTATTGCTAGCTATTGCCCATAGTTTGCTCTCCAATGATGTTATTAAACTAAAAGTTTGGGCTCACGAACAGTTTTCAGTTGAAACGAATCTTATCGCAACCGAAGCCATGTTTCAATTGGATCGGAAAGGTGTTATCAATCCGACGAATCTGAGTGCCCTACGCGTGTTCTTCGAGTCAATTCTGAGATTTGATTTAGCTCATCTCATCCAACAATACTGCTGCGGGGATTATGCTAATTTGAAGCAGCTGATTGTTAAAATTAAAGAAAGGCTCGTTCAAAACGCGAGGGAACGCAATCTACATCATGTACGCACTTCTACCCTTCTCCCAACACATTCGTATTCTCCAAGATTACCGGTACAACGAGAAGTATCGAATAGCAGGAATCAATATGACACTGCAAATGGCCCTCCACTTAATGATCCTCAAAACAGCGCAACTGATACAAGAAGAAATCATAGATCGTCAATGTTTGAAGATATTGCTGATCGTCGTTCCACGAGAGAAACAAGAGGTATGAATTAAATAAACATATTTTTGAGCACTAAAATATAATATTATAAATCTAATATTCAGGTATGTTAATTGTCGTTATTAGTATAATTACTAATTCCTCAGATAATTACGCTATAATCACCTAAGCGAATTTTTCAAAATGGCGGCTAGTTGTTAAAGTGCAAGATGAAAAAAAAATCATCCAGTCGTTTTATTACGCTTGTGAGGAATGTATTTTCTTCAACAGATCGTTTTCTTTCAAATAATCACCCTTGTAATCATACTAGAACAATCATTCGCCACAGGTTCGGTGAATATCACTGGGTTTTTTCAGTGATATTCTCCTGTATATAAACACGTGCAACTTTTTATTCTACTTTTTAAAAGAGAGCAAAAATAAGGATTATTTAAACAATCAGTAGAATTGTTAAGAATGCTGTTCAAAGTATACTGGCGTATAAATGCAGTGAAGTTATAGAGAGCAAAAGCATGACTTGAACATGAAGAATATATTTTTCATCCAAATCCAGGTAGTGAAAATAGTTCAAGAAGAAATTTAACTGAAACGACCACAAGAACAAGTAATGGCATTGCAGATAATTCAAGAACTGAACAGTCTGCTATACAGCTTAGTATCCGAGATCCTTCTCCTTCTGCAGAATACAACGATCCGTCAACATCTCACGAAAATGGTCGTTCCTATTTACATAGTGATAGAAGAAGAGAGGAGAGATGGTTGTGTAATCACTACAAAAGACGTTGCATGGTGAAATTTGATTGTTGTGATAAATACTGGGCTTGCCATCGTTGCCACAACGAGACAAGCACGTGCCAGCAAAAGAAACTGAAATCACGTGATACGACGATGGTCAAGTGCATGGAATGTGGAAAAGAACAACAGGTAACAAGTGAAATGATATTCTTATAGTCCATATTACTCAGTGCAAGCTTTCTTTGAGAAAAACCCGCTGTTGAAAGATGTGAAGATTTTCTATTCCATGTAGTTATTGTGAAATATCATCTCTCAATGAGTTTATCAGAATTCAGATTTTTTTATTCTCTGACTAACTTAACTTGTTTTCAATTGTCGGTTCGCTGGTGATTTTAAATGTTAATTTAAATATTTTTACAAGTACGAATATTCTAATATTTTTCATTGATGTTGTGTTTAAACAGTTTGGTGAAAATGGTCAATTTTGTGTTTCGTGTAACACTCAATTTGCTGATTTTTACTGTGGTATTTGCAAACATCTTACTGGAAGAGATGATCATCCGTATCATTGCGAGAAATGTGGAATTTGCAGGTATGAATTTTGGCTACTGATGGTTAAAAAAATCATATTAAATTGAATAATTACAATTAATTTCATCGGTAACTTGATGTTGCAGGATCCATGGAGATCGTTCATATCATTGCGACGTCTGTGGTGTTTGTCTTGATGTTCAACTCAGAGGAAATCATAAATGTCGTCCAGATTCCGCTCATGATGTTTGCGGTATCTGCTTGGAGGTAATTTTTCACGATTAGCTTTTGAGACATGCAATAACCCGTTTACACCACACTCGATTAATTGGACCTGTGCCAAATTGTATTAGTGCTCAGGCTACCAAATCAAAGGCTGGGCACGGATACCCATTTTAGCGGTGACTTGCCAATAAACTATAAGTGTAGTGTAAACGGGGCCATGGCAAATTTTCTTGATATTTTCAATAATTCCTTATGATATGCAAAGGTTAAATCTGTAATTCAAGTTCTTATAGCTACTATTACAGATCCACGGGCAAGGCAAGGTGGTAACTGCTTTTGAAATCATAATTTTATTGTACCTTTTTTCCAGGATGCATTCACGGGCTGTCAGATCCTTCCATGTTCCCACAAAGTTCACAAAGAATGCTCCACCCAAATGATTCAAAGCGGATTGTAAGTTATTGAGACAAATAATCTTAATTCACCACTTTTGTTAAAATGAGGAGGATCGGACGTCAAAACTATAGAAACGCGAAATCTATTGTATGTTTGTTTGTATATGTTTCTACAAAAAGTAAAGTATATGGTTCTTTGAAATAACCAGACGCTTGCTTTAAATGTGCATGTCCGACAACGCCTCCATCATTAATCAAAGGCATAATTGTACTATTTTTTCTTTCTTTTCACAGAACTCGGTGCCCAATTTGCCGGGAGAGTTTCGCTCACAAGCTCCAGAGACGCCCAACAGCTGGAAGGAAGCCATCAAGAAGAAGGCGGTGAAGACACGTATGAAAAATGGACATTTTGAGCCTGCATGTATACGATATATATATTAATAATTCCAATAGCGCATTTTTTGGGTAGTGTTGCAGCTCCTTGCAAAAATGATTTTCATTAGCTGAACTTTACAATACATTTCTGGTTCAACCAATAGCATAGCTTCACTCTTTAGAATGCATAGAAAAGCATTATCCAATTGGACGAAAGCTTCCGACGCGCATATAATTAATTAATAGCCAATTTGAATTGTATAGCTTTAAGGGAGCAGCTAGAGCTTTTCTTTAAATAAACGCAATGCCATATATATAAAGTAGATCAAAAGTAGGATCGTAGCATGAGCGCTACTTGCTTCTCAGAGGTAAACAACTTTGAAATAGACCCAAAGTGGTGATGATGGGGACGTTAACAATAGATGATGGAATATGTCATGGGCGTGGTCAAAAGACCACGAACAGCAACAAACACACCTTGAGTATTAGAAAAGAGATTTTACAATTTCAAAAAGATATTTTATGAACATTAGCCGCATATGATAAATGACCAGGGCCGATGGTTCGAAAGCTGAATAGCGCTAAACCGAATAGGGGTTTTTCAATCCCGCTAAAATTAATCGTTGATCCGGCAGAACTTTGATTATTCCTTAGTATTGGTCCTTTAAATTGGGGATCCTATTTAATAACTGCATGTTATAGCAGCTTTAAAAACTTTAATTTTAATTGCTTCTCGTCCGGTTTCACAACTGTTAAGAAATATATACTATCTGCTAGAAATAGCGCAAACCAGTATTCGTACAACCGGCCCATGGGGAATAAAATAGTTAATATATTCGATTAGTATTGAAACCGAGAACTGAAATGCATGGTTTAAAAATTATGGACGTATAATAATTATATTTTTTATCAATAAAAAAAGGCCACACTAACTCGTTCCGGCATGTGCTTATTCTTATTGAAAGACTGTTCGGTTCGTGTCTTAACTCTGTTCTGTCTTCGAATTATATCACTAAGAGGACTAAGAGGATTGGTTATTGTACCACTATTATCTAGGTTTAGGCTAAGTTTATTCGTTGCATTTTGATTGCGTCGAATTCAATTTAGACTTTTGTCCGGCAGAACCGTCAAATTTTCTTCAAATACAGCATGTTTTTTTAGCAGTTCACATACAAGGAATCTTGGCTTTTAACCTAATGCCTTAATTTTACGACACCTGCTGATAATATGAGCCTGCATGAAAGGGGAAACGTTCTTAAATTTGAACCACTGTCATAAACATAATTTATTTATTGTTTGAATTACGTTCAACGCGACCAAAATCCAAACTTCAGTTTTTCAATGAATAATTTGCAAGAACTACTACCCCGGCCACCATGAATAAAGTTTGATATCCAATATGGCCCAATGCGGCAGCGCATGATATGTCTGGAATCAATAATACGTAGTGATCTCTCTTTTCAGTATTTTCAATCAGGGCGCACATGCATTCAGAAAGGTATTTGGGGTGTGTCTTGCTTTCTGGGACAGGCTTTTGTTTGTATTTGATTGGAAAAGGCAAGTTTTATTAGGCGTAAATTTTACAAGCAAATAGCAACGGAAGAATGTCTTCCCGGTGGAAGATGAAACCATAGCAGCCCAGAAATTTTTACGTTCTCGTGGTGCTCGCGCGCGTCTGGGTGTGTCCCTCTATTCTTTTTGACCCAACCGCCCCAAAGGCACAACCCTTTTTGACCCTCCGCTGCGTGTCCAGTCATATGCCTATTCTATTAAATAATTAAATGAAGTTTCGCCCGTTGCATGTACCTGTTACAGGAATAGGTAACTACCCCGCCATGAAGTTTACAAAAATAAAAAAGTCAAAAGCCTTGTCATATAATTTTCCATATGGCAATCCGAGTTTTCTAAAATTTTCCGGCAAACTTTTCCATGGAAGTGGTTTGTAGGTTCAGGGTAGATTTCATCATAGGCAGCTCAGAAATGTTTTCGTTCTCGTGGCCCTCGCGCGTCATAATAACACACCGAGTAGACTTGCGTACACCGTGTAATTTGTCAAATTGATTCAGTTAAACTTATATTTTCTTAATAATTATTCTGTACATTCCTGAGAAATGATTGAAATAGGGAGACAAGGAAATCGCACGAGGTTTCAGTATAAATGTCCGTATTAACCTTAGTACTAGTCCCAACAAATCGCAAATCAGAATTTGTTGGTTTTGGTTTCTTGCTTTTGGCAAGACCCACGATCCAGAGTTTTGACGGATCCAGTTTACTGTGAAAACAGAATATAAAACATCCATCAGAAGTCGATTGGTATTGTACGGAAGTGTCAGATATTTGATCAAGAATCTAGAAACATACACTTCTATTCAGACTTCCCCACACGTCCAACACTGACTGAATACATAAACTACAGAGAACAATTTGTTGAATGCAAAACGGCTTTGACCGAAGCTAATTTTGATTCATAAAGAAAGACTTCTCGTCATGATGGAGGGAAATCACAAGGAAAATATAGTTGTTGCTGGAGGTTCAGAAAATAATTCAGTAGAGATGTTTAACTGGCGTCAAAGAATGTGGTCGCCATTACAATCGATGCCAGAGGATCGTGAGGGAGCGACGTCGTTTATTTATAACAATTATATTACTATAGCAGGCGGTGACTGTGGTTTACTTGATATTGTTGATGATATGATTAGAATGAATATTCACCCAAACCCTGGTCATTCAAAAGACTGGAATGACGGTCCGGTTGCACTACCTGATAAGTTAGCATACCACAGCAGTGTGGTGTATAATGATATGTTGATAGTTTCTGGAGGTTATAACAGAAATAGTTCATCTGACCTAATTAGATCAGTCCAGCTTGTTCCTCCCTATACTGTGAAGACCTTGTCAAGGATGCCAGAACATAGAGAAAATCACAGCATGGAATTATTTGATGAGAATTTGTTGATAGTTGGTGGAAGTACAACTGGCAATAGGAAGCGTCGCCACAGCAGTGTCATACTTTACAATATAAAGAAGAATGAGCTAAAACAGTTGTCACCATTTCCATATGAAGTGAGTGATATGGCAACTGTGAGATGGGAAGACAGCATCATTGTTATTGGTGGCATTGGCAAACAAGCCAAGACATTGGATACAGTTATCATGTACAATGTCAAGACGGAAGAAAGTATCATGTTGCCATCAATGATTTGTGGGAGGTGGGGATGTACAGCAGTTGTTATCAAGAACAACATTGTAGTCCTTGGAGGAAGGAGTGACCAAGGGCAACTAAAGTCAGTTGAAGGTTTCAATTTTGAAAGGTATTCTTGGGAAGAACTACCAGAAATGTCTGAGGCAAGATATGCACACACTGCTGTTGTTGTATGAATAATTTTGGAGTGACATTGAACAAATTTGTTTTGGTAATAATGACAATAATCAATATGAACTGCCTATATATATCTTGTGTCCTGAATACTTAGAATTACTATTGGTCTATATATTTAGATTTTTCATGCAATCTTTCCTGTTTAATTACTTGGAACTTTCAAAATGCCTAAAGTTAATACTTTGGGCTGTGAAAAATTGAAGTTTAAGGCGCTGCAGCAGATTATAGATTTATATTTCCACCTTGATTTAACACTTTGCAATTATTATTTTTGTACATGATGAATAATTTAGAAAATTGAATTTATTTTTAAAAATCATTTATTCAATTATATCTAGGTTTTCTTGATACTGATAGTGTCTCATTCATTATAAACTTTGTTTTTATGATCCAAAGATCAGACAATTTTTAAAGCTTGTTTCACAAATTTGTAATTGCCTCATGTATATTATTTCTTTTATATCTTGATTTATTTGATTTTGTGACCTTATGATGATTTTAAACCTGCACATTGAGCTAATTCAATAAAGATCAAGTGTCCTTCTGAAGTATCAACGCTAATTGTGCAGTGGTTAACTAAAACTTAAGGGTGTGCTTTATAACTAATTAGTTACCCTATTTAAACACCCAACACTTAAAGATTTGGCTCTGCAAGAACAATCGCATATAGGTCTTAAGGGACCAAAAGTGCCCATTTTGTGATGAAAAATTCCTTATTTTTGTCCTTTTTGTTACCTAAGTCTGCCCACTTAAATGTGCACAAATCTTTTTGCAGAGCATAAATATAAACCACACTAGTGGTGTCTGCAGTTTTGGCAATCAAACCATCCTCCCTATACATATTTTAGCTGCCCTTTTTATTAACCAAAAGTGCCCTTGAGAGCTGGTGCCCCCCTTCCCCCAATCTCTGGATGTGTCCTATGCATGCCCTGTGCAAGAATACTGAAAAGTTCAAGACAGTAATGTAAAGAACTTCTAACAGAAAAACATACTGCTCCAGAGGCATTTTTTAGACTTTACTACCCTAGTAGGTCAGGGTGAATTCAGTGTGACTTTGTAGGAGGTGATGAAACAAAGAAATCAAAGGGCCAACTACAACAATGTTTGGCTTCTTTTTTCAGTAATCAGGCAACCCTGTGATGCAGGCCACCAGCCAGCTATGGGTGGGTGCGATCACCAGGGCTGGGCTGGTTGTTCACAAGGTGGATAGAGATAGATAATATAAAATGGTATTTTAAAAATATCACCAATACAACCATGATAATAAAGGCATATACCCAGTTAGTGAGTATAAAAGAAACCACAAACCCCTAACAATAATAATGATAATATCCCCTTCGTTTTCTCAAACTTTATAATTAAGTTTCATTTTTTTAAAAAAAGCGCGGGCGCGTTTGAATAATGGCTGCCACTTGATTGGCCGATCACATCTCTTTAGCCAATCACAGCTCGATTTTCTCTTGTTTACAACATGGATTGCCGCTGGACGTTCTTCACTTCTCAAGTTTTGATTATTGATTGCAAAAGTCAAAATTACGTGGAATTCATGGTCTAAAATCTTGGCATTTGTATAAAAAGCTCTTTAAAGCAGCTTGTTTCATAAACAGAATACAAAGCATATAAAGTTGAGCAATAAAACTTGTCAGAATTATCAGTTTCAGTTCAGCAGTTAAAACAAATACAGGCTTGATAAGAAATTGTTGGACAAGGTCAATTTAATATGTTTCATCATGACACTGCAGTTGTTAAGGTAAGTCACAGAGTCCTATATAATAATTATTTAAATCAGTAGTGTGCGCGACACATGTTAGGCCTCCTATGGCCAGCTCCTGGTTCTGCTATGTCGGAGAGGATTTGTATTTTTCAATACCTACCTAAGGGTGTGGTGATTGAAAGGGCTGTGACATGTCCAAGTAATTCACAAATTCATATTTGTCACATGTTATATACCAATGGTTGTTATTGGTCAGAAAAGTGGAGCATAAAATGAGAGTAGAGCATATAATAATTAATCACTGTATTAATCACTAATTAATCACCATATGGTAGTGGGAAGCAACCATATATTGTGGTTTGCGAATTCTGTCTGTCAAATGGGCAAATGTTTTACTGAAAACATATTATTTTTTGTGGATGAAGGAATTAGATTGACATTTTCAATTATGTATATTGTGAGATGGAATTGGATAATTGATGAAGTCCTCCAATGGGTTGACCTGTAATTGGGCTGGTATTATACTTTTGTAACTAATTGTTCCCCAGAAGTTTTTTATGTACTTGCAATTAGTTCTGATAGCATGAACTTCATTTAGCTAAGATTTATTGTTTGTGTTAATTAAGCTATAAAGCTACAATAGTGTGACATATATATTATTTAGGAAATTAATTAATATTAATTTATAGTTCTTTATCAGCTATTAATATTATTATTGTTATTATCATTATATTATCATATACTGCGTTGCCGCAGTATAAAAGTACCTATGACCCCAAATCACTGATTGAAATTTATAAATTATAACAATTAATATAAATGTATTATAACAGCTAGTATAAATATTTAGAAAATTAATACCTATATACCCACTACGGTATGTCTAGTGTACGGAAATACAAGAAAAATGGCCAGTGAACTGTAATATATCAACTGGAACACTAACGCCTATAGTACGTTGAGCGTGTTAATACTAGCTAATTGGTTGAAGCCACAAATTTAAGCAAAAAACTGAGTTTGTGACTCTGTTTCAATTTTTCTAAAAATTAGCAAATCATTGTATTTCACACAGTTCTATAGACATTTCTGGATAATTACTCAAACGTTCAAAAAATCAACGGTTTAGTGGTCATTTTTTGCCGGCACCTTTTTGATAAACGTGAGTGCGCAATAAAAGTAAAGAGTCTGGACACTAGGTGCTCTACCATACCTGAGATAACCCTAACCAAAAACTATCTTCATGATTGGCTTCAAAGATGGCGGGCAAGTTAGCGTTGCGGGTTTTATTACTGTTCACTGTTTTAGGCTAGGCAGGATTTCCTTTCATTTCTACATAATTTTTAAAGCCCCAAATTAGCTACAGTAGCTATATTAAAGAACCATTAGGAATTCCAACTGACATTTATCGATGTATGTGATTCACATTAATTTTATGCGTCCCGCCTCCGGCCAGGTTTACGTCTTCACACATGCAGAGGAATCCTGGTAAGCCATTATTACCAAATAGCAGAACCTATATTGTTTCTAAGAAAGAAATTTGCAATAAATCGTATGTAAGTCATTATAGGCTACATTTACTCTATTATACTTTAAAATTAATCATCAGTCATTATATTTATAAGGCGCTGTTACACGTCTAAGAAACTTTCATAGAGACTTGCTATCAATGCTATGCAATTATAATTTTGAGGGATTAATTATTTGTAAAGAGTGTTCGAAATGCTAAGAAAACGTTTCCGGTTAGCAGATCGTAACAAATGTTCGTATTTGACAACTTTAGAAATCCTCACGAGTAGAAATACATTGCAAGTTGCAAAGAAAGCATGTTGTAAAGCAATTCTGATTTTTGGCACTTCACTCGATGCACGTAAATTCTAGGGTTTACACTAAGGGGTCCTAATTTCGAGTGGACTAATTATACACACTTCAAATTCAAGCCAGGAACAGTTGAAGGAAAAATGAGTCAACCATATATAGGTCCTCTGGCAGGAATCGAAACTACGCTTTTGCGATTCCGCTGCAATATATATGTGCTCTTGCAAGAGCGGAGGGATTCATTACAGGAAAAATAATAATTTGTCGTTTGTAGATATGGTTTGTTAGCTTACTAACGCGCATAGCCCTCCCCTCCTGAAGAGGAGCAAGGAGAAAAAAATATATTCTTACCGAATTTTCAACAAATTGTGGTCGTGATCCTCTAATGATTTTAATTGCCTGAAAGACATCAACTTTCTGGTCAACTTTCATTCGTTCAAGCAGGTTTGAGATGGCAATGAATGTTCCGGTACGTCCAGCACCATCACTAAAAAACAAACGATATAAAAGTTATAGGCATGTGCTTTGTGTTCATAATTCTTCTGGAACGTTGAAGTCTGAAACACCAGCTAACTCGCGTACTGCATGCATGCAATTTTTCTAAAACTTGTTTCAAGCAAAAAATACTAGTTTTAAGTATATATACAATTAGAATCTTAAAAGTAGATTTTGCCATTGTGAAAGGCATGCAGTTATTTTTTCTGAGTAAGACAAATAACCTTGTATTAAGAAAAAAATTATACCAAAAAAATAGTTCTTAAAGCAAGATAACGTAGCTTAAAAGAAAGGAAAAAATCTCATTAAGTGTTAAAGAGTTTGCAGTGTAGGGAGTTACTGAATAATATCAAATATAGATTGTCACCTGCATGCAACAATTATTGGTCCTTGATTATCACTCTCCCAGGAATTTTCAACCAATGACAATAGATTAACGACGCTTTCTGTGTGGCGTGGTACACCATGGTGCGGCCATTTTGTGTAATGGAATATTTTAACTTCACGACAATCTTGTAAATCCTGTTCCGAACAAAAGCACAAGGTCGTAACTGTATAAATAGTTACTCGCACATTCAAATATAAATAGAACAGTATAATTTCCAATATAATCAAGGAGCAGCGCGGCGGTGTCTTCAAACAACTTAGCATCAAATGTGGTATAACAACTGCCTAAAATCAGTGTTTTTCGAGCAGTGTTTTGTCTATTCTAGGCAGTTGTTTTACCACATTTGATGCTGAACAGTATAATTATGTAATCCCCTGCTTAACCTCCCCACCCGTAAACCACAGGTGGAAGGTATAGCCAAGGAATACACACCGGATAAGGTGATATGACGAATTCTCTAGTCCATATCCCATTAGATTCCCATTCAGAATTGAATTGCACCGTTAAAGAACCATACTGAATTGGCTTTTCTTTCATAGTCGTTGGCCAAAATATCGGGAATGCCTAAAATATCAAATGAAGCGAATATAAGAATATAACAATATAACAACTAGGCCTCTATGCATGGTGTCCAGTTGTTCGAGACCGGAGAATAGCGCTTGTAACGAACTTAACATCAAGCATATCATCCAAATTACTGAAATTTTTAGGCATGTCTTTTGTACAGGCCTAGTTAAGCATTTAAAAATGGTGGCCGCGAAAGCCTGGTTCGTTATCATAATTATAACGTAATGCATCGGTGTTGTCTATTGTAATTGGATTGATACTTTGAATGAATACAGAATTATTTGTCCATTAAAAATGATCTTTATTGTTCACGATGAAGAGTATCGTAGAACATCGCCGATATGAAAACAAAGTTTTCGGGATAGCCAGGGGCCAAAACTAGCTCGATAATTGGAGGGATATGGGCGAGGTGAATATTCAAATATTCTGTTATGCCCGACGGATTTCTTTTGAAGAAAACACGAATGCGTACAAAATAAATCCGTCCGTGGCAGAGCAAAATATATAAACATATCCACCCCCGTTCACCCCGGCTTACCGTTCCATCTTGTAAGCTATTTAACAAGACAATCGTGGATGATTTTTGCGAATAAACCAGTCGCCAGAAGTCGTTGATTGTGTTAGGAAGAGGACTTTGCGTCGCGATAAAATGATTTCTTGTAGTGTAACTCTATATGACAAAATGAAAACAAATGTTTGTAAGACAATGGAATTGTTGTCATGGAATTGAATAAGCCAGCTAGCTACCACGGTAAAATAATAAGTATATTCCACTAAATGTCGTTTTGTCAAACAGAACCTAAATCTTCAATATAGCATGCACCATTGGCATCATTGTTGGTAATTAATGTAAACTATATAATTTCAAAACAAAAATCATTACTAATTAGCTATGTTTAGCTCATGCACGTGAGTTTCTTATTTGCAAAACTCTTACTTATAATGGACCATTCCCCCATTAAACTAAATAAACGAAATATTGTAAAGTTTGAAAACTATCGCCGTGCGAAGTTGGTAAATTTTGTATAAACTAGTAGCTAGTAGTTATATTGCAAGACTGATAAAATATAGTTATCCTTTGACCGTGTGCGTTGTATGACGTACATCAACAAAAACAGCATTGATATAATCTGAATTTTGAACACCATCCAAGTATTCCAGTGTAACACGATTGCCTTCCCCTAAATAGAATGTGCAAAGATTTATTCGGTGATTAAAGAACTTAGTTAATACCAACAATCAACGATAGGCCTCTTGAGAAAATGGAGAATGAATGCTTTATTAATTTAAACAAAATATTTGCGTCACGTGCTACAGACATGCAGTACATCGCCGAGTGCCGGTGACATGATATAAAAATCAGGCCCGACAGGATCTTTGAAGAAAGTACATTCAATGAAGTGATTGCACGAGACTGTGTGTGTTAGTTATAGCGAATTTCACAATACCTGGATAGACATTTTCAACACGATTTTTTTTGCCATTTTCCTCAAGTAATCCAGCAATGCATTCATCTGGAGTAAGAATTGGTGACACTTTTTCCAACGTCTAACAAGATGAAATTATTGTAAATACCAACGTTATATATATAAATATATATACAATACGGAACAATAATTTATGCGTGGCACTATAGTGAAGGATAACTCGGTTTTCCTGAAAACAACACTCGAATTTTTTTTTAAAATGCACGTTATGGACATAGTATGGATGCTACTTGGAAATTGTATGGAAGTTTTCATAGTTCGCATTTTTAAAAAATTTCATTGCCGTCGTATTTTTAACTAAATAGGTTTATTCCTGGCAACTCACTCAGCTAGATATCTCGACCAATTTATAACACTTTCGTGATATTATTTCGATCGAAACAGCAGAGCATCGTCCGATGTTTGATGTCATATTCCTTTTTTTTATGAATTAATTACATGTAGCTATAAGAACATTGAACGCATGCATTTTTATAGTAATAACGGAAAGGACGGTTGATCGATCAAGATGGCAAGATACAATAGTTTTATGAAGATTACAATGTAATAAAGACATGCAATAAGTAAATATTTCCACTATTTCCTCAATTTGTTGTATCAAACTTCATATTACCCGCAATTCACTGTGCATCCATCGATACAAATTCATTCACATTTGCATGTGGCATCCTGATACTCTTTTATTCATTGGCATAAGACAAACATGCCTAGTTAACCATAAACTGACAAACACACCTTAAACTTCTCTTGAAAACCAGTTAAACCACTGGGCTTAGTTTCCGCAAGTTTCCCAATCTCCTCTTTGATATTACAGCAATCAACTTCGTTCATCCCACATACAATTGCCTCCATGATTGCTTCGTAGACAAATATATATTGTTCCTTTATTAAAAGATTAGTAAAATTTATTTAGTTCTTTTAGTTTCACATGCCTAGAAAGGAAGTGAATATGTAAAGTGTGAAATAATTATATCAATGTTCCGTGCTTTAATGAGTTCGCAACGGAATGATCCTTGACTTGGGGAAAAAATCGGTCACATATATTAGAAGCATATTATAGCTTTTCTAGTGTGAATTAATTTCTTGCATGCCTACATACTGTATAATATGCATGATTAATGTCTGTTTAACAGCTTTTCAGTCAAAACGTTCAAAACTACACAACGGCTATAAGATGATTTTCATTATTTCGCATGTTTGCCAGTTACTTGCAAAGTTTGTAAGAAATGAAATTACTACACCCATATACCAATGTTTGCACCATATTCATTCTTCGTTCTCTCATTGAAGAAACCTCTCCAAACACATCAATACAATTCACTACACCTTTGTCGAGTTTATCAAGAATGGTATCTATAGCAATAAAGACACCGGTTCTCCCAACACCAGCACTATAAACAAAAAAATTCTATTATTCTACGTTGTTTTATACAAATTGTTTTATACGAATTATAATATTTGTACAAAATCTTTTTATTGAGTTATATTATAAACGAAATAGAAAACTTTTTTCCTGTGTTTGATTACAGTTATAGAAACACTACTGGGAGTTTGGGAGAACGAGAAATAATTAGTGGGAGAACGAGCCCGTAGGGCGAGTTTTTCCACGTTATTTCGAGTTATCCCAAACTCCCACGCGTATTTCTATAACTGTATAGAAATGCGGAAAATGTTTTCTATTTCTTAATTACAAGTCGTTTCGATGTCGTCTATAAGTTTCACCTGCAGTGTACGATGATAGGTCCAGATTGTTTCACATGATGGGTCCTGTAATGATTTCTAAAAGCTAGGAGCTCTGTAGGATATTTTGGGACGCTGTGATCAGGCCAGGATTTGAAGTAGTAATGTCTGACTTCTCGTTTTTCGTCGCCCTAAAGAGTGTGTGAATATTAGGGTGATTTAGCACGAGGACGTGAACGTCAAAGACGACGTGACAATGGCAAAAAAATGGCGTGATGCGCCCAAATATGGACATGCCACGCCATTTACTCGCCATTCCCACGTCGTCTTTGACATTCACGTCCTCATGCTAAATCTCCCTAATAGGGATTAATCCCCGAGCCGGTGCGAAGCACCGGGCGAGGGTACTAATTCCGCCCGGAGATTTTGATTACGCCCGGGAATGCAAATGCGAAATGAAAGTTGTCCGCCATTATGTCATGGACGTTGGGCGTTTTTGTAAGTTATGCGCATGCGTGAATTTAAGACGAGTTAAAACTGGTAACCAGCAAACGTTTGAAAGCGTGCGATTGGCTAAATTAAAATTTTGGTTCGCGTCAGCATAACTGATATTTTGAATTATAAAACTTTTTTAAAAATATTTTTCATTTGAATGGTTTTGAAAATATACGGAAAAATTCACTCGTAAAAATGATTAAAATGTAAAGTAGATGGTGCTTTCGGATAGAAAAACTTTGATTCAAATAGATGGTGAAAAATCTACGATTTTAAAGCATTTTTGGAGTGTTTTTGAACAGGTAAATAGGTAGATTTTGTATTTTAAAGCATGCAAGTATTTCGTAGTTTAACTTGTAGATTTATGAACAAACGTACGACACCTCTTTGAATTTATTCGTCAATTTCGTTAAAATGATTTTGATTGGGAAAGCATATATTTTTAAAGGTCAATCTGTTTAAAAAGGAATTGAAATTTCGCTAAAAATTGTAGTATTTAAAACTATTCGTAGCACAATTTATAATGAATTACGATTATAGTCGATGATAGCTCGAGAGTCGACTTTATAATTGTACCAAGATATAGGATTTTACTTGCACGGCTTCGATCATTCAGCAGAAACGAGTATTATAGAATTTCAGTGATGGAAATATAAGTTTATTGCTTCAGGCGAGGGGACTTTGCATGCAATGTATTTCTAGTAATTAAATATATAGGATGTGATGCAGTGTAACGAGAATGAATTTCGTTTTAGACCAATCATCAAGGTTGTTTACGCTAGTTATATATATCATAATCCTTTTACCATAACGATTCGCATTTGTAACTTTGATATTAAGAATTTTGTCCAATATTCCCGCATTAACTACAGTGCTGATCAAAAGTATTCGAACACCGATTTTACAGATCTCATAAGAATGCTCATATCTAATTTAAAACAAAAGCAATTTGTATGAAAATTTTACATATTACAGAGCGAGTTTTTCGCACTGTTCACCAGTTATTTTAATTTTCTATTTTAAACCGAAAGTATATTTTTAACTAAGCAAGTGCCATTTACTACTTTCGTTACAAAGTTTACTTGGGCGGTTATTTGTGAGAGTATCGATAATATTTTAGGAAAAATGAGTAGAAAAGTGTTTGCAATTTTAAATGAAGATCGAATATTGCCAGTAAGTTGCGTATAGTTTTCAATGTGCATCAAATTATATTCTGTCAAAAATAACAAAACATTCTCTACATGAGGTATTAATTTTACCTTCCTAATTTGTAACGTGTGTGTTTCAGAGAAAGCAAATATTTCCGTCTTCTCCAACGTTACTTCAATATCTCCATACATTTTACTTCCTTCGTCAGGCCAGTACTTCTCACATTTAGGCTAAAACAAAATTGATGCATACATGTTATTTATCTGGCGCGAGCCAGGTTGGAATGTAGAATGCCATCCATGCATGAGGCCTCAAAAGCAGGGTATTTTTCATCCGGACCGACGGTGCATGAGTTTTGTTTCGCACTGAGTTATGGCTCAGTATGATTAAATGGACTTGCTGTAAAATACAGATTCTAGGTACAAACAATTATCCTTTTTCGGGAAATTAGTACAGTAGCAACCAAATCCCTTCTATCGCAAATAGATCTTGATTCGTGTTAACGTAATTTGATCCGGGCTACCTTAAGATAATTGTATGATGTATCTAATTGTAATTAAGAGATGCCACTGACGAAGCAAGTTATTCGTTGGATAATTCTACCAAAAACTTGAAAGGTATCTTAGATGCTTTACACTTCACTTACCTTACGGTTTCCAAGTTCGTTGAGAGAAGTTACCATCACAATAGAGTAACTGCGCTGCTCCCAAACCATTTTCCACATATCATTCACTGTAACTGGGGTTGGGCCTGGGGGAGATAATGAGATGTCATAAATTTGTACCTATGTACTGCTTTTCGTGGGATAGTAGACAGGTTCAGCTCAGCACAAGGACGTGAACGTCAAAGACGCGGCTTTAAAATGGCGAATAAATGGCGGGGCATGTCCAAAATTAATATGGACGCGACACGCCAGTTATTCGCCATTTTCACGGCCTCTTTGACGTTTACGTTCTCGTGCTAGATTTCCCTAACTATCTGTATAAATATTAACCAGTGTTGCTGACCTTGGCATGCTATATAGGAATTTGCACTCATTCCCTGAAGGAAAAATAAATTTAACATTAATGCTACTCAGCGATCTTTGACGCTGGTCGAAGTTAGAAAGTTGTGGCAGAGGCATTGTTCCCAGTGAAAAAGTTCCGGGAAACAATTTTTCGCAGATGTTCCCATACCATACGTGAACAAACATGGGGTAACATTTGATGAAACAACCGAAACACAAGTGTTACGGTAATCTACAATATTTCTTAGTCTTGAATATTACACGTAAAAACATGAAAAAAATGTATTCACGCTTCATTCCATGCAATGTCATGTGGATTTAATAAGGAGAACATGAAGCGAGCTACAATCCTGGCCAAAACCATTGACAACACTCTAAATGATTTGTAGTTTTTTTACGCAAAACATCGACATTTCTGTGTCGATTTACCCCTTGCCCCCTAATCATAACCATGCTAAATGCTTGAATCAGTTTTGCACATCACTCAACATTGATTTGTGGGGGGAAAGGGGGAGAATTTTGAAATATATTCCATGACTACTGACTGTATAGTGTCAATTAACACTGAGTGTCGTCAATGTTTTGACCAGGATTGTAGGAACAAAATTTTGAAGATTTAAAGTAGCGTATATGTATCTTTTCCTTAACCATTAATTTTTAGTACATTAATTCATATTTAAAATTTCATGAGAAACTTACGTCAATGTAGCTAGCGTTAATGTAATCTTCATTTTCATCTCCAGAGAGAACAACACGACAATAATCATCTGGAATTATACAAAATTGATCAGGAAATCTGATATAAAAAAATATATATAAAATCACATATTTTTCAACATTACTATAATTGTCATTGCTGCTAATTATACATTAATAAAAATTTTATCTACCCTATTCCCCGCATATAAGCAGCGCCTATATCTGGAGGGCGCTTATATGCGGTGCAATAGGTTATGTACTGTATATGGACGATACGGAATTTTATACAATACATGTGACAATATTTCCATATCTGTTTTTGTCTTTATTGAACGGCCTTTTTGACACTTCCCAAGATGTGGTAAAATCTTTTGGTAAATCCTGTTGTAGAAAGATAAATTTTCTTTACATACAGAAATTACAGTATGGTTTATTAAACAGTATAATTTATACGTATACAAGAAGATATAACCAAGAGAGTAGCAAATTGAGCATGAAAATTATGTCTAAAGGCAGAAAAATGTACGTATTTTGAGCATTCAATTTGCCAAGTTTCTTGTTTACAAGTTCTCGGTTCGAATATTTTGTTTTTTTTAATCCTTACTTCGCATGCTGCACGTAATACCAATTAATATTTCGGGTCGATATTCTCCTGACCAGCTTTATAAACTGAATTAAAGTAGAGCCCGATCGTTTGAAAGGAATCCATGCAACTGATAAATCGGTTAATAAAATTGGAGTATCATTTCTCCGAAGGATATTTCTCAATGTCCGATACTTACATTGTATTCATTGCCAAACATATAGTTATCGTTAGCTTTTAGTTCATTAACGTAGTGCAAAAATTCTGCCAAGGAGACTGGTGGATGTCTGTTTTCTTTAGCATTTCCTTCAAAGTTGTGCAAATAAGAATGTACGAGTATTTCAGTTATATCTTGACAATTCACTACAATACTGTATTATGGGTATAAAGTCTCCGGCACATTAGTATGTAGAGATGAAGATTCGTATATTATTTTGTAATTCTCTTTGGTTATAAACGGGACATTATAAAACAAATTTGCGGTCTTTAGTCAGTAGGTGTTAAGAATAGGAATATAACATTCATTTACATATTTGTCACCCCCCTGGTTTCCTTGTATACGGCTACTAAAAAATATCACTGCAGTTCCAGCACTGAAGTTGTGAATAGAATTGAAGATTGTAAATAAAATAAGAAGCTGCATCAAACCGAATGGTACAGGTCTAGTTTTTATTCTAATGTGCATGTATTTAGTTGCAGACAGGGCCGTCGCTAGAGGCTTAATTGGGCGGCTACGTTATATTAGCTCAAATCAAAATATCACTGCAGTTCCCGTACTGAACTAGATGTTTTCAGTAAGCGTGGTCTATCGTTTTTGCTTATTTAACACTGAATGTGAAAAGAGCAAAAATAAAAATAAATGTGTAAAATCAGTAAAATTGACAACTAGTGAAAATGTGAAAAATTGCATTTTTGATGTATTCAAACATATAGTTTTTAGAATCAGATTCAAATGATGAAAAGTTTTGCGTTTTCCTAAAACTATTCTAATAGAACCATGCATGGTGTAAATGTGTAATTTCACTTATGTGGCCAGCACACTAGCTATCATTACGGCTTACCACTGCTCTCATTTAAATAGATTCTTTCATTGCTACCAGTTCCCGCGCACCCGTTTGATCCAAAAAACTTGTCTTCACTTGCGTAGCTTTCAAAATCATCGCTTTCGTTATCCTGGTATTCTACCGAGAACATTTCTACGTTCGTTTCCTGCTTTTGAGCTCGCCTGAGGGTAAGCACAAAAGAGAGTGAGCGAAAAACTTTGCAAGTACGACAATTATTTCCAGAAACTCTATTAATTTTCCCTTACCTTCGCTTGATGATTATGACAGCAGCAACAACTAAAATTGCAACTAGAGCGAAAAACACGCCAATTGAGACACCCAACACCACCAACACTACCAATACCACTACTGGCTAAGTCGTAACTGCATCCCCTGCAAATACGGTTTGGATAAATATATGTAGGTAATTTTGAGGGAACGAGGGGATATGTGAATAAACACACATCCCCGAAGTGCCTCAAAGTAACGTACTTATTTTCACATTGGCGTGGTTGCATTTATAATATAACAAATGACAAGAACAAAGAAAACCGAGGAATGTGAAAAATAACATAGATTAAACCGCAGGTGCAGCCAGGGCCGTAGCTATAGAAGCTTATTTGCATGGGATGGGGTGCATATTCATATTCTCGTCTTATGCGTGACCGATTTCTTTAGAAAGCTATATTGCTCCTATATGATATGTAAACTTGCTTATATGAATATGCAACCCCCCTTGCAGTCTAGCTACGGTCCTGGGTGTATGTTTTACGCACAAATGCAAGTCACTCAGCAAGCATCAGGCCCGTAATATAAATAATCAGTTGCTCTATTTTTTCCTATAAAATATGTAAACATGAATATGCAACCCCCCCCCCTTGTGGTCTAGCTACGGACCTGCATGGGTGTATGTTTTACGCACAGATGCAAGTCACTCGAAAAGCATCAGGCCCGTAATAATAATAATAATCATGCAGTTGCTCTATTCTCTGCTAAAAATACCTACTCGGTTCACAAAGTTCAATTCTAAGACAAAATTCCTGCTTGTCAGTCGATTCTATCTTTATGTAACGCACATTACGAATATCAACGAAAGTTGACGCCGCTTGATAACCATTTTTATTCCCAGTTATCTGAAACAGGAAAATATGTCATGAGAATAGTTGCTTATATAAGCATACGAGTGATACGACATCGTAGTTATAGTGGAAGTTATGTGATAAATTATATTGATTATAGCATATGGAACATGCGCGATATAATTTATGCTATATTTGAGCGAATGCCGTTGTCATAGGGCTTTTGTTTGCCATTCTTTAGTTTTCTTGTTAATAAACATTTATTTAACTTTCTATAATTCGGCATGTTATTAATGCAAATAATAGGACATAACACACAACGTAATATTTTTTATCATTTTAGGTCAATATGCAATAACTAAAGTCTTCAAACCCTTATGCATTTTATCTGGAAAATATGGAATAGCAGTCCGACATTGAATACCTTTATGCTGTTTTCATACGATGTGTTACGACTGTATTTCAAGGAATATGAACCACTCCACTTTGCTTGGTTTTCATCCGCCGCAACCACAATCTGGAAAATGTTGTATTCCTTCTGAAGGTCGATTTCTAAATACTCGTCTCCATTCCCTGAACACCAACCGCGTTTGTCCATCCTAGCCAGAGTGTAATCACTGGTCCCATTTCCTGAAAATGTGGGTTTTGGAAACGTGTTTTGGCCAGTAATTATCGGTTTATCGCATATCTGACCTACAGAAAAATAGACAGAGGTAGAGAAGCTCAAGTCATTAAGTCAGGGGCTAAACCTGTCTAACCTACAATATGTTTGGTGGACGCACAAGTAACAAGTAAGTAATTCATAACTCATAACATCACGAGGTTTTGAACTATAATTTTTTTCATTTATGTTTTAACAGTTTAATATTGATTCCAAATAAAACCAAATATCGAATTTACGACAAATTTGTTTTTATTTGCTGTAGGAAAAGGGATTTTTTCGTATTGCTAAGTCCACCTACCACTACGCATGTTGAAACTACGCGAATATTTTCTCTATAATGAATATTTATTATTATCATAATAATTTTTTTGGACCAGGAAGTGTTGTTAATTGTTGTTGTTGTTTTTTGTTGTTGTTTTTTGTTGTTGTCGTCGTTGTTGCTGTTGTCGTTGTTGTTGTCAAATATGTCCATAATGTCTTACCTATGTAGGAACGAAAACACAGCGAAATTACCCTGCATGGGTACGAGCATAGACTATCCAAAAGACAATTGTCTATGGTACAATTGTCTATGGTACGAGGTTGGCACATTATTTACCTGGTTATTAGACCACTATTATTATGAGGCAATTTGCTTTGTTGATAAATATATGATTAAGTTATCTCCTTGACTCTACTTACAATTTACATTTGGAATTGATGTACTTGAAGTGGTTGTGTAAGACTGAAGATGCGTACAGCATGATGTTTCGTTTGAGCGAGTAGAGTAACACATGACATCTCCCTTGGCAATTTTCTCCCCACTGGGAATATCTAGTGAAATCAATTCATTGTTTCCATTCACTTCAAACCCCAAGTGTTTACACAGCATGTTACGGCGAACTTTATCCCAATTTTCATCATAAACTTTCCACGAAGTTGAGCCGTCGTGTACTTCAATGAAACCTTTGTATAACTTTGTTAATCTTACATCGAGTGCTAAAGATTGTGAAAAAAATAAGAAGCTGCATCAAACCGAGTGGTGCAAGGTCTGGTTTTTATTTAATGTACATTTAGTTACAGATTTGGCTTGTCAAGATTTGGTGTAGAGTTATGTCTAATATGATATAATAAAATTGTAATACACAAGGGTGTAATTGTAATTGTAATATAGGCACAAGGGGCTTCTATAATTTATCTTGTCGAGAGTAAAATTATTTGTGAACAACCCAGCTAGTGCATGGCAAGTTTAACGGTCGACGTAATAATTGTTATTGCGCACTATACCTGAAAACATAGGTGATTTGTAGGAATCCGTACAAGTATACTCAGTAAAAATCTGTTTTTCGGCGCCGGAACAATATTCTGGTGCTAAGAAATTATCGTCAAAAATTATACTACAAGATCTGTTTCCATTACAAAAAGATTTCACTTTGCAGTTGGTAAGTTTGGTGCATTTAAAAGATGTTCCTGCAGAATAATCAAATCTACCACCCTTGTCAAAGTCCCCATAATCTGCTCTCTTGACCACCATGAGTTGTTTTGAAGAGCAATGAACGTCTTTCGTTTTGGCGCCATACCTGGTTACTGATCCTGTAAAGCATTTAATAATATTAATTCAGTAAACTCATGTTTTCGACAGAGAAAGTTGATGACAACCTTGAAATAGTGGACGTTTATGCATGAGCAATTAAAGGTCATTCTGAAAATGCTTTCGTTCGATTGTTCTTTACGGCATCATCGTTCCCAGGTTTTTCGCGTAATGCGTAAAATGAATAACTGCGTATAATGTGTAAAACTTCGGGTTAACGGACTGAAGGCTTTGCAGTATTAAATAATTACGTGGTGTACCTACAAGTTAATTCACTCAAAAATGAAGTTTAACTTATTTTTTCTTTATGGCAAGTAATGTTTTTATTAACTGTTTGAATTTTATAAAAAACATGGCGAAGACAGGTTTTAAAAGCGCTCTGTATGAATGTCGCGTAATGTGTGGGGTGATAAAGTGTATTACTTTCACTTACCTAAAGTAAACTTTTGTTGTGGTTTTTCAGTGCAATTCTCTCTTTTTATATATGCTGTTGAGTTAGGTTCAGCACAAATTGGTACAGATGTTCTGTTGTAAAAACTTAAGGATCCAGCTGGCGTTTGCTTTAAACGGTGTTCCCGGTAATTTAGGTAATCCCGTTTCGTGACAGTTATTTCTATATAATACACTATCCAACACCTTTCATACTGGTTACCATATGGAGACATAAGTATTGCCATACTTTCTATGTTTTGTAATTTCTCATTACTGAGATAACGGAATTGTGCATTATCTTCCAAACAGTTGTCACCCATCGTTGCATAGTTATAGGCATGATTCAGGTGAGATGCCGCTCGCAAATTGCCCACCGTTGTAATGCAATACCCGGAAAGGTGGTTTCTGAGGAAAAAGCTTCGACAATCTGTAAAATAAACCACAGCTACATAATTATTTTCTCGTAGTAAGAGTATAAGGTTTATCTTTCTTTGTGACGACATTTTTCGACTATATGTGTGTGCATGTATTGCTATAATTCTATTGTTCCGTCGCACATATAATTATAAGAAATTACACTGAGATAATAATTTATATGTATTTTAAATATGTATTAATAAATTATGACAGTCGATAAGATAAAATTACCCGGGCATGTTTATTTGTAAAAACCCAAAATGGCGTATGAAATTTTAGGCTGTGTGGTTTTCGGGCCGGTAAGGTTTTTTCAGTTTATTTCTCTTTAAACATTCAATGCATGCTCTATAGGGTTCTGTATTATTGGAACTGCATTAATAAATGAGTAGTCTGATCATCTCGCAGGAGTTTGATGCATCGAAATTTGCAAGTGCAAGCTTGACTGCGAACAGTATACAGGAAAAAAATTACAGGCCTGTATCAGAAAAAACTATAACTAGAAGATTTTAAAATGTTCAAAAATCTATCATTTTATCAAAATATCTGGCTAATCTAACAGTAAAAACTAGCAGAAAAATTAACCTCGTAAAGCGGGAGAACGGTTTGTAAAAGCCTCATTTTTAACCGCTTGTGCAAAAAAAATGAGTGGTTGAAAATCCAAGTTCATTTAAAGAGGTGAAAGTTTAGACTCTTTTGTGCAATGTATCGCAATTTCAGAAAATTTAATAAATATTAAGTCCGCTGCGAGACGTTTGAAAATTAGACTTTTTTCCCGTTTGGAATTTTTAAATAATTTTTTAAACTTTTATATTATATAAGAGTATAGCTGTATATGGTTTGTTTTAAAGACTAGTGCACAAATACTAAATTCAAAAATGTATAAAAATATTAAATGTTCGTAAAAACTTTTGTGAACATTTTCGAGGCCTCGTGCGAGATTTGTCACTACGAATTGTCGAGGCCATAATCATGGGTCAAATTCCTTGCCAAATATTTTTGCTAATTTCCAATTAACAAGTTTTCCTTGACAAGGAGCCTTGTTCAAAAGCTAGTCATGCCAGCTTTTCAACAAGAAAAAATGCTCGTATGTACGTATACGGCCGTCAAGGAAACCTGACAAGGAATTGCGCAGTACGGAACTATATATTCAACAATATAACAATATTGTTGCAACAACATTCATCGAGCCAACAAATATTCTATGACAAATTCTTTCTTTGACAAGTTTTGTCGTGTGAACGTGCCAACAAGTTTACTTTGACAATTTAGTTTGCAGTTAGCGATGTAATCGTATATACAGCGGAAAACGTAAGCGCGCTAACAGGCGCCATTTTAAAATTTCAATTCTGCATAATGTAATATCGTAAGGAATATAATGTATCATAATAATGTAATTCAGTGTTTTTCTTGTTTCTATCTATGATTCCGAATTAATATTTAATAAACTCTCTTTTAACATAAGCAGTTCTTTATCGCCAAACCAGTCAACCGTACAGCGCTAATGCATGCTAGCTGCCAGTGCAAAATACAATAGTCCGCTGGTCAAACGCATGCAAGTGCTCACATTACTTTGACAAGTTTTCTTTGTTGACTCATACACGCGAGCGAAATATGTACTTTGACAACTTTTTCTATGACAAGTACACTTGTTCAAAATCAAGTTGGATGTATAATGACGAACAATTAAAATTGTCAAAGAAATCTTGCTCGTCTGTAAGGGGCTTTATACTATAATTATAAGGACGGATCATCGGTGGACGAACTTGGGCAAGCGAAAGATAGTTCGTCTGTGTGTAAACACAGGGAAACAGATAGATAATGTATCCGTCACTGACATGAATTATCCGCATAGTTCGTTTATTTAGACGAATTTGAATAGGTAGTTCGTCTTGACGCATCATCTGTCTGTTAGTATGAAAACGAGGTAAGGACGAACTACGGAAAATTAACCATAAAACGGCTTCTGTGCGTTTACGTTTACCATGCACATATAAATAATTTCCTCGTCATGCACATTCGTTTTCAATATTCCCGTGCACTTTTTGAACGCGCGATTCTCTTCTCTTTGACATATTCATGCATCTACATAGTTCGTCTATAGATAGTTTGTCGTGTGTTTATATTCAGAGGAATGATCGGTCAGACGGATCATTCGTCCAGACGGATAATCCAACTATATTAATTTTGTGCATACGACGTAAAAGAAAAGGCCTCATATATATAGCCATGAAATAACGGAGCCTTACATAAGTATAAGGTTTACATGCATGAAGCAGGAAGTCCAGACTTTGGGTCTAAAATATGAGGAAAAACATTCACCTATATATGTTACTTGTTCACTGTGATGTTCCATGCTTGCGATTAAAATATTTGTATTTTATAATGGAAAAAAAAATAAATACTGACCTTTAAACAATAACAATGCGATGCCATATAAAACTATCAAGACAAGACATAAATTTGCCGCATTCTTCCGGCGTTGGTGGTCGATTTAAACTGATATAGTCATAATTACGTATGGCTGCATCATTTTAGTGCCATGAGAGATATCGAAAGAAAACTATACAAGGTAACTGCGTGCGTGGTATTCATTATTATATTCAAGTCCAGGCTCATTATTGAAACTGATTGGCAAATTTTTCGTAATATGATTAGTAAACTGATAATGCTCTAAAAGTGTAGTGCCCCAAAAGATATCTTATGGCAGAAAGTATATAATATGTTTCTATGTTTATAGTCATGTAATTGCATTAAAAGCCACTATAGTCCATTTTTTGGTATCATGCACTTAAAAGTTGATTAAGATAAATAATATAGATAAATACTATAGTTTTGCCTTACTGATTTTATGTTACCAAATGCATTTATATTTGTCAGCATATGATTATAATATTTTTTATATTATCGAGTAAAAATAATACTTGGATGCAGTTGAAACGCGTGGTGTAAACTAAGACAAGCTTATACGATAATAATTATATATAAGCCAGTTCATTATATTTCTGTTGTTTACTTTCATTTTTCCAGCGAATAGTGACACTTGATCATGTGTAGAGGATATTGCTAGAAGTGAAAAAGAAAGGAACTAAGTACTTGTTAACACGTTGTAAAGGCTTAAGTTGATAGTCATAATTGGCCGGCATAAAAGTGAAAAATTGGATAATGTGGGGGGTGCTTGAACCGACGTCTATAGCAAACTTAGTACGCCTCTGTATGAGTGAGCAGATATAAGCTACGCAAGCTAGCTTGAGAAGCTTGGTTTACAGGTTTAGGATTACGCCCGAACCATGCATATAAAGTTCATAGTTGTCGACCTATATATGTCATAGTTCGTCCACCTTCATTATTTTATTGTCAAAACAATCAATTTTAAACAGTTGCCTTTTTTGGGTTTGGAAATTTCTTATGTTTTATCACCATTAATCTTATAATTATCTTATTTTTTTTTATCATTTAAGAAATAGAAAACATATTCCGTGTTTCTATATATACAGTTATAGAAAAACGCGTGGGAGTTTGGGAGAACAAGAAATAATCCACGATATTTCGAGTTCCCCCAAACTCCCACAAGTGTTTCTACAACTGTATAGAAACACAGGAAAAAGGGTTTTCTATTTCTTTTAAAGCTAATAGAACTCGATATTAAAATGATTTTGTACAAATAATATAATTCGATTCAATTACAAATTCTCATTACATCGATTCGCTTGTCAATTTCGGCGAGAAAATTCCCGTGTTTACAGTTATAGAAACACGCTTATCAACCAATCAGGACGCGCGTACTATAAATGTTGTATTATAAAAACATTTATAACAGTCACAAATTAGCATTTTTTTATATATTCACAGAGTACAATTTTTCCGAACACAATTCTGTATATATCGATAACTTTAGCTATAAGCCATGCGTATATTTTATTAACAGTATATAACAAAGGTGATTATTGAAAATTCTGGCCTCTGATTCGTCGAGAAACCTTGGATTTTTTTAAGGGTTAAAGACTGTTAATTGTGAGTGTTTTATTGATAAATAAACGCACGCACTGACCATACAATGAACGAGAAATTTCAACATTGTCAACAAGTGCAAAGTCTCTAACACTTTTAATATACAATCTAAGTTCATTGATTGCTGCATTGAAGATCCAATTTCGAGTTCATTGTATGGTCAGCAAGTGCGTTTATTTGTAAACAAAACATGAACATAAAGTCTCTAACACTTTTAATATACAATCTAAATTCATTGATTGCTGCATTGAAGATACAAGCTTCGTCTCAGGCTGTCATTTTTGAATAAACCACGATTTTCATGGGTTATTACGAATAGATTATGATTTCATTGATCTGTCGCCAGGCAACAAGAAACCACGTGATTGACCAATCGCGTGAGTAGATTTAGGCCAATGCACGAAGATTGTATAATAATAATTATTTTGAATAAACAATGATTTTTATGGATTATTGCGAATAAACTGCGATTTTCTACGAAATAAAATCCTCGACTTCGTCTCGCTTTTTATTGAGCGATATTCACCTCCCATTTGGCGAATAATTGTTGAATATTATTATATTAATGTTGACCACACGGGTATACATAAATATATTTATTAGCCAAGGGACAGTATTACAATATTTTACTTGTTCGCTGCGCTCACTATATGAATAGGATTTATATGTAGGTAACATAGCAGCTATAATTTCTGGAATACAAATCTCAATAAATTATGTACTAAATATTATGTCATAATAGACAACATCGCAGGTATTACACTGTATCAAGGTGCATCTATGGTCAGAAATGCTAAATGAACAATGCTATAAATCAAATATGACTTAGCTGAAATTGTATTTTCTGCACATAAAATGTTGATAAATGCATCAATATTTTAATGGTTTTGTGTTCTTTGATATAGATGTGATTTCTTCCGAGAAGACAACCAAAATGATAATGTGGGCACAGATGCAACAAGCTCTGACGAAAATAGTATTGCAAATTCTTTGCCAAATATACATCCCTCAAAGGTAGAAATATACATTGAAATTGGGTAATTTGTATATGGGGCTGAATCGGTTTATTCCACAGAGCTATACTATAATTCCTGGAGGGAGTGCTCCTCGAATTTCAGTAACTTCGCTGCCATCTTTTTGAAGCAAAAAACATGGCGGATTTTGGCCTCTGCAGGCGCCAGATTGATGCCACATGGTCTTAGAAGGCCATGGTAGTTACCACTGACCAGGCTCAAATCTGAGCCTGCTTCGAAAATATTTTCCTCGATTTTTGGGAAATTTCTATTTTGTTCGAAACCTCGTTGTTTTCGTTATTTTCGATATATTTTATTAACTATAATACGAAAAACCATTATTTCAAGATGTTTTTAGGTCGCACACGTTATTTTTACCAATATCAGCCATTTTTTCCTGATATAATTATAGTTAAACAATCTCTTTCTGTGAAGAGTTTGCTTTCATTATAGTCATAATCATTTATCATCTCCAGATAGTAGTTGGCTTTTGAAGTTAGTGAATAAAATCATTATAAATTATAATTAGTTAATTAGAATTAGAATTAGAATTAAAATCGTAATTATGATTAGTTACTTATAATTAATAAGAATAATTCTAATTTATTATAATTATAATCAATTATGATTATTAATTATAATTAAGATTATTATTATTATTAATATTATTATAGTCGGTGAACGACTATAGAACGATTCATGATTTGAGCTTTAAGTGATTACAAAAGATTACTGTCTATTTTGCGTAATTTTTTCCGTATTTTACTGTTAAAGATGCAGTTCATTAATTTTGTATAAATTAATATGAACTGGAAGGAATGGTTGGTGTTTTGCAGACATTGCCGGAAAAAATAATTGTCTGCATAAAAGATAATTTTCATTGTTCACAATTCACACATTTTAACAGACTTTATATAATGCGTGTTAAATGAAATGATGTACACAGTAATCAAAGTATGCATAAAGTCAATCTTTTTAAGAAATAAGTTGCATCTCTGAGGATATTTTAAAACGTGCATGTTGTGTATCTATAATGTTGGGAAATCAAAAATTTCTTGCGGAAAATGTCTTAAGAAGAGTTTGAAAGAAGAGTTTTTGTTTGCTTCTCGAAGCAATTAACATTCCTTGAATCTATTATAATTTGAACCAGTCTCTCATTACAACTGTTCAAAAACTTTATTTTTATTGCTGCGATCTTTTATTAAGAAGAGAGTTAATAGAGCGTTACTGGGTAATATATTCAGGAAAAAAAACGCTGCACTGCATGTGTCTTATGGAGGAGTTGCATGGGTAGGGGGAGCAAGAGAGGAATTATTCAGTTCGCTAACTCGGGACCGATATAAACAATAAAGCTACTGTAGAATAGAACGTAGACAAATCCCTGTCGCACATCCTCGATCTGATTTAGATCATCACGGTACTCCACTTCCTCTCCCATAACACTTGTGTGTGTATGCTTAAAAGAGTAAATCGAGGCAATTATCATTCCAATCTGTAATTTCTCACCAGCTAAGGCAAAAAAAGATTGAAAGAGATTAAAATATCGTTAGGGTTTTTGAATTACATAATGATTTTAATAATTATATTGAGTAGTGAGAAAGCACATTATGTTGGTATATATAGCTAGAAAAATTCTTTCAAGGTACTCCCAAAATCTCCTTGGAAACTATTTCAAAGCTTATACTTTCCTTTCCACAATTTTGGTCAGCATGATACCAGTTTGACCTGCGCATAATTACGCGTTATATTAGTTGTCGTTGAGATATCGAATTCCACCACTTGTCTATACCTAATGAATTTGCGTTAAGTATATTTTGTAGGTTTTTTGAAAAAAATTCTGCAGATAGCGTGCGCGATCAATATATAATTATTGTCAATAATTATTATATCTAAGAGTCGCGTAAATGGAATCTTGTTCACGAGGTGTGTCCTTAATTTTCCACTCGAAACAAGACAATTACCGTGCAAACTTAAAATATTTTCCTCTTAGCCTTTTTTAACCTCTTTGGAAAGAAAAAAAATGGAACTACGGTGACGTGTATGTTTCTTGTTCTGTTCCTTAAACCTTTTTCTCTGACAGGGGGTGCAAAGGGGACTGATTGACAGGGATAGAGAGGGTATTGCTTGACTGGTATGATGATAAAAGTAGGTTTGAGCTTTATTAAGGTATGACTGGGAAAAGCAAAAAGAATGTGCACATCTCCTGAGATTATATATAGGCTCCACGTACCAACGAGTCAGTTCGTGGAGCGAGTTTGCGAACCTGGCCACGGGTTCCCTTCCCACCAATTGGCAACAATCATCAATAGCCAGCGCTTTACTAAAGTGTTGACCGCTAAATTGTTAAGTATTCTGTGCGATCATTAACATTTATTAATAAAATTGTTAAAGCAATATCGTTTGCTAAACGCCTGTCAAATCGATTATGATTGAAATCTCGTAACTAACATAGGAACTAGGAAAAGTCCGGCATTTTTTTCTCCCCAAA